TCATGGGATTTGGTTCCTTGGTTTGGAGGTTTAGGGTCATGATTTTATGCAACATCTCAATTAACTGATCTAATAACATATTTAGTACTTCTGTTCTATCTCCTAGTTCACTGAGTAGTGTCAGCGGTCTTAAAAGCTTGCAACGGGCCATTCAAAGCACCACAATTGGTCTCTATTCATCTGGAGCAAGGGAGGAAGAAGGAGAGTCAGGAATACAGGAGGATATGGCATGTGTGGCTAATTGCCTCCATGAACAACTGTCTCCTCTGTCATGAGACAGGAAGAACTAGATGGTGTCTGGCCACTATTACTGAACATTTTGATCAAAGATTCCGTAGAAGAATCCTGACCAAAAGGGAAAAAATGCAGAACAGAGTTTCAAATTCTCATGGAATCCAGACTTCCCAGAGTCATGGAGGGTAGTATAAACCCCTGAAACTATTGCCTTAAACCAAAACTACTCCCTGAAGTCTTCTTAACAAACAATAGTTTAGCTAAACTAGTAAAAAAAAAAAAAAGAAAAGTCTGCCTTAAGCATTATGCTCTTTTAAGAACTATCTACACTGGATCAAATTGACAACAGCAACTCCAGAGATTAGAAAGGAACCTTAGGGGGCAGTGAGTTTATGTTAATGAGGGAGAAGCAACTCAGAAAATGACAGTGAGAATGGTCACACAACTCGAAGAATGTAATCAATGTCACTAAATTATATATGCAGAAACTGTTAAAAAAATGTTGACAGATTGTGATAAATGTAACTAATGTCACTGAACAATTTGTGTGGAAACTGTCAAATGGTAACCTAACTTGCTATGTAAACTTTCACCAAAACCTCAATAAAAAAATTTTTTTTTAAATTAATAAGAATCACATTGACATAAGACTTTTCAGTAGTAACATTAGATGCAAAATGACAAGAGATTAATGTTCTTCAGTGCTGAAAGGATAGAATTTAGACCTAGAATGCTTATATCTGGACAAATTAACATTCCAGTATGAGGACTTAATCCAAATACCAAGCATTCAAAGTCTCAGAAGGTTTGTCACAAAAAGACCCACACTAAAAACAATCTTGAAATAAGTATTCAAATATGAGAAGAAATCAATCCAGGAGACCCTGCAAAAGATATGTCCATTTAGAGTGATCAAATACCTTGGCAATATTTGTTGTTGTGGAAGTCCAGTGGAGGAGAAAATTAAGAATTAAAGAAAAGAAAAACAGAAATACATCTTTAATAATCCAGAACTAAAGTCCTAGATTAAACTAACATGATTGAGAGTCGAAAGAGGAGACCAAGGGATGTGAGTGTGCTAAGGTTCTTGTCTTCTTAGCAGAGAGATTTACTTACCAATTTACAAAGTATTTAAAATGAACATACAAGAGGTAGAATAAATTAATAAACTAAGCTGGAAAAAACTATTCCAAATACATCAATAATCACAACATAAGTAGACAGACTAAGTGTATTAGTGAAAAAACAAATTGTCTTATTATATATTAAAAAAGCTCATAAAAGACACACATTAAATAGAAGACCATAGAAAGGCTACAAGTATAAAGACGGAAAAGACTTATCAAATACTACCCAAAAGAAAGTTGGTGTGGCTATTATCAACACCAGATAAAGAGACTTTAAGAAAAAAAGCATCATTAGAAGTACAGAGGTTAAAAGCTTGCAAGCGGCCATCTAAGATGCATCAATTGGTCCCAACCACCTGGAGTAAAGGAGAATGAAGAACAC